ATTAAAGCATATTTCCCTTTGCTTTATTTATGGGTACCCATAACCAGAAGGCTGGCAGTTCAAACCCACCAGCCACTCCTTGGAAGGAAAGTTGGACAATCTACTTCCATAGTGATACTGCCTTGGCAACCCAAGGAGGGGTCGCTATGAGGCAGGTCTGACTTAATGGCACATAACAACAACAACAACATATAAATTTAGCTATAGTGCAAAGTGACCTCCACATCCATGTTCAGGAAATGCATTTCTATGTATCTCCTATTGGTAAATTAAACTCTTGGGCAACATGCCTTTAAAAATTAGAGTGGATTTTGTTCACAAACATTAACTTATCATTTGTTAGCCAATTCCACTAGCTGAAGAATGACATTTAATTATTCAAATTACTTTTTATGCTTTTACAGAATTACAGTTCTTTACCTTCAAATGGATGGTGGCCTGGGGCTGCAGCTGCAGAGTGAGAGGAGCATCACACACCACACAAATGGGAGTGTTCATGGGTACCATGCTTCTACATTCTACACATAAGCCCATCTGCACAAAAGAAGATCAGGTTTGTCTTCAGATGCAAAAATTGAAGATATAAGTAAGAATGTAAGATTTAATTTACTTTTATAAAATAACCTCTAAAATAATTAGCTTATTATTATTTTATTCCTATTAAGAGTAAAAACATATTTCTTGTTTAAAAAATATATCTATAAAGACTGACTTACTACATGATGAAGTGAGAAAGTCAACAAATCCTCTCCCCAAAAAGCAATAAAAAAATTGGACAAAAATGTCCAAAAAAACTATCATTTCAGCACTCTAAACATTGACCAAAAGCACACAGCAAACTGAAAAATTTCTACAAATTACTGAATTTCATATAAGAACACTGAGTCTCTGTGGTTCTTGCCTGGGGCTGTTCCGATCCTCCCCTAACTTTATTAGCATGGTAGTTCCTCCAGGGCAGGGCAGGCTGTGAAATCCTTTATAAGTCTGAAGTATTTGAGTTTAACTTCCGACTAATCTTCAGCTGAACTCTAAGCTATGCAGCCCATAGGTAACCCCAGGCTTAAAAATAAAAACAAAAAGAAAGGAAAAAAAAAAAAGCTGACATCATTGGACATACATTGCAAGAGACACAGACATCAAAGATTTAAGCCAAGTAAACAATACACAAGAGAAAAAGTCAGATTCCAGAGTTGCTACAATATAGCACTGAAACTGTCCAGTGTTCAAGAAAAAATAACAAGATACACAAAAACAGGAAAGTGAGACCCATATTTGAAGGGAGGAAGGAAAAGCAGACAACAGAAACTATCTCTTGAGTATCCCTATAGGTTGGGTTTAGCATAGAATGATCAGCTATTATAAAAATGTTCACAGAACTAAAAGAAATCATGCTTGAAAACGTAAAAGAAAAGGATGATAACAATGATCTAACAAATGTATGTGGTTGTTGTTAGTTGCTATGGAGTCATTTTGACTCAGGGTGATCCTGTTACATAATCCCAATGAAAAGCATAAATTCTTTTTTAAAAAACATTTAAAAAGCCAAATTAAAACTCTGGAGTTGAAAAGCAAAAAAAAAAAAAAAAGTGAAAAAGAATTTGCCAGAGGGACTCAACAGTAGATTTGAGCTGACAGAAGAATAAGTAAATTTGAATATAATTCAACATAAAGTATGCAATCTGAAGAACAGAAAGAAAGAGAATGAAAGTAAATAGACCATAAAAATCCTGTGAGACAAATCAAGCCTACCTATATATATATATATATATATATATATATATATATATGTATGTATATATATATAGTGGGCATCCCAGAAGAATATAGAAGAGAGGAAGGAGAAAAAAAGAACAAAGAAATAATGGCTGAAAACTTCCCACATTTGATGTAAAACATTAATCTACAGATTCCATAAAACCAACAAACCCCATGGAAGATAAACACAAAGAAATCCACACTTAGACACATTGTAGTCAAACTGTTGAATGCCAAAGACAAAGAGAAAATATTCAAAGTAACAGGAGAAAAACTACTTATACATACATAGAGACAACAATTTGATGGACTTTTTATGAAAAACAATGGAAGCCAGAAAGCACTAGAACACCATTTTCAAAGTGCTGAAACACAAAATAACTGCGAAATAAGAATTCTATCACCAGCAAAATAATCCTTTAAAAATGAAGGTAAATAAACACATTTTCAGATAAACAAAGACAGAAAGAAACTGCTTGCAGACTTTCCATACAAGAAATACTAAAAAGAAGTCTTTAGGCTGAAATGAAATGACACCAGAGTCCACAGTAAGAAATGAAGAGACCAGATGTAAAAAATATATGGGTAAATATAAACAACCTTTTTCTCATTTTGGGGGGTCTGGTGGTATAGTGCCTAAGGCATTTGACTGCTAACCAGAAGGCTGGTGGTTCAAACCCACCAGCCACTCCTCAGAAGGAAGATTGGGTAATCTACTTCCATAGTGATACAGCCTCGGAAACCCAAGGAGGGGTCACTATGAGTCGAATCAACTTGATGGCAGTGAGTCTGGTTTTCTTTTCGGTTTTCTCATTTTTACTCTTAACTTCTCTAACTGACATCAGGTTGGGTAACACTAAATTTTTCAGTTTATAACATATATAGATGTGATATATACCGTAATGTATATTACATAAAAGATGGAGTAATGAGGACAAAAGGAGATATATTAGAGAAAAGTTTCCAATTAAGTTAAATTATTCTGAAATAGACGATGATAAATGAAGGTACATGTAATTCCTAGAGCACCATTTAGAAAATAACTTTTAAAAAACAGTAAAAAAATTATCATGTACATGAGCCCTACATCAGCAGTCACAAAGCCTGCCTTGCCCTGCAGGAACTACTACATCAGCAAAGATAATAGAGGAATTAAAATGGCACATTAAAAATTATATATTTAACACAAAGAAATCAAGTAAAGTAGAAACAGAAGCACAAAAAAGGGCATAAGACAAATAGAAAACAAATAGCAAAATGGCATACTTACCATATTTACATACTTACAACTATATCAATAATGACAAGAAACTCACTGCTGTTGAGTCGAGCCCAACTCCTAGCAACCCCTCCTTGGGTTTCTGAGGCAGTGTCACTACAGAAGTAGATTGCCCAACCTTCCTTCCGAGGAGTGGCTGGTGGGTTTGAACTGCCAGCCTTCTGGTTAGCAGTCAAATGTCTTAGGCAGTATGCTACCAGAGCTCCCATTAATAATGGCATTAACTGTAAATAGGCTAAACACCATACTCAAAAGGAAGAGACTGACAGATTGGATAAAAAAGCAAGACCTAACTATATGCTGTCTACTAGAGACAAACTTTATATTCAATGACACAATAGGTTAAAAGCAAAGGTAAAAAAAAAGATATACAATGCAGACAATGACCATAAGAAAGCTGAAGTGGTTATGCAAATATCATAGGAAAAGGACCTTAAGAAAAAAAACATTACTAGAGACAAAGGAAGACATTTTGTAATGATAAAAGAGAATGATATGAGGAAGACAGAGAAATTATAAATGTGTAAAACATAACAACATACTCCCAAAATATTTTAAAGCAAAAACTATGAGTCAGACTTGAGGTGAGACACCATCTATCACTAGACTATCATAAGCCCCCAGTTTTACTTGTGGCATTTTGTGTCACCAAGAATTAGAGTCAGTTCAGAATAAACTATTCATAAGGTTTTCACTGGCCAATTCTTTGAGAAGTAGATGGCCTCTTCCTTCTTCCAAGTCTGTCTCTGTCTGGAAGCGCCACCAAAACTGGTCCACCATGGGCATCCCTGCTGGCACAGTCTCCACAGCCTCACAGCAATACTCAAGCCACCACAATATGACAAAGTGACAAACAAGTTTGTCTCCCTTAGCTGTTAATTCAGAATAAATGTCTAGAAATCCCTCAAAATTTGGGCATTTCCTTTTTCCAGTGCACAGTCACTCTAGTAAAGGCCACAAGTCCCTTTGGGAAAGGTTTTAAAGAAGATTTATTATATGTACTTAAAATGCTACAGGTCTTTCCTCAAGGAGACCCAGTATCCCTTTTAATCAATGGTTTCTGGTTTTGTGAATTGACTTAGGTCTGGAAAGTTGGTGAGAAACAGGGACTCAAGTCAGGTTTCTGGTTACAAGATATATTGTTTTTGTTTGTTTGGTTTGGTTTTTGGGGTTTTATTTATTTTCTTTGTTTGTTTGTTGTTCTACAGACCAAGCAACACTCTAGTAGGTGGCCCATCTATCTAGTTCCTAGGAATACCATGATCAGATTCTGATTACCAATATGTCTTGGTGCCCTTTATTGTAGATGCATCCACCATGTCTTTGGCAGTTAAGTGCTGGCCCTGACCTCTGCTACTCTTGGATCTCATCAGCCTGATTGAAATTACGGAGCTCAACTCAATAGCAGCATCCCCTATTTCTAGCCTACAAAGAAAAGCAGCCATAGAACTTTCAAAGGATGTAAGTGCTCCTCTCACTAATTTATTCCTCAATGCCTTAGTGAAGAAAGTGTCTTCTGGGCCTTCTTGTGGAATGCAAGTTGGGGACTAGGGGTTCAGGACAAATATGATAAATCCACTCCAACATTCCTGTCTTCCTAAGCCTTTGAATTCCCTCCTCCACATGATGTATGGAAGTTCTGGTATCTGAATATCATCAAACACAGGCCACAAGTCAGTCTAAGTTTTAGACAATCAACCAAGTAAGCTGTTAAATGCATCACCTGCTGCATTACCTAACACATTAAATCCAGAATCTCTAGAAGGTGTACACATATCAATGAATTTGGTCCAATTTAGTGTTATATTCTGCCCTCCATGGTTAAAATCTAATCTTTGGTTAAAATATTACTCTTACTCTTACTCTTGATGTTGTTGTTGTTGTTGTTTGCCGTCGAGTCGGCCCTGACTCATAGCGACCCCTCCTTGGATTTCCGAGGCAGTATCACTACGGAAGTAGGATTGCCCAACCTTCCTTGTGAGGAGTGGCTGGAAGGTTGGGCAATCCTACTTACTCTTCTTATGTAAACTATTTCCTCCTGGATCATAGTGTGCACTTGTCCTCCTACAGCATGCTGGGATTGAATCCTAGTTATGCTAGGGAATGGTTATGATGCATCTTGAGAATGTGTATCCCTTTCAAGGCATCTGCCCCAGGCGAGGTTATTACAGAGAATTCAAGAAAAAGAAGACTAGTATCCTCAGACAGGAGGGCAAGCTATTTCTACTGCAAAGGAGGCTCAAATGACTTAATGGTTCAAGATTTTCAGTTTCATCTGGGTCTAGCCAGATATCTCCATTCCAAGTTTCAGGATCTTATTATTTTCCAATTAACACTCTAAATTTCATGTAAGAGTAAATTCAGCTGATGCCGTAAATCATCAACTACACAATTAAATTTTATGTCTACTTTCCAGTAATGTAACACTGGAACTACAAAAAAACATTCTTTTCTGGATGTTATGGAAGCTCACTGGTTCTCAGACCATGACTTAAAGGTC